AAACTGTAAATTTAATGCATTGATTAAAAAATTTACACCTTAACGTGATTATTACCTTTTCTGGATAAATATTATTTTTAGTTGAATGGTAATCATTTTTTTATTATGTCAATTCCAATTTTATAAAAACGTTTGGTATTAGAAAAGAAGTTTATATAAATAATATTTTTTATATTTTGTTTCCTTTTTAGAAATATATTAGGCATGCAAAATTTCCTTTAATTTCTCATTCTAAATAAGAATAGAGTATTTAAGTAATTATGCATGCGAAATTATTCTAAAAAGGAAACAACGTAGATCTTGTTTGCGAAATTAGTCCCTTCCTTTTTTATCAAATTAAGTAATTATGCATGCAAAATTTCCTTTAATTTATCATTCTATTATTCTTAAAAGTATTTTCTTTTAAGAATAGAGTGATTAAGTAAATAATTACGTATTTAATTAGGCATAAATAATTACTTTTTGATAAAATAATAAGGCGTAAATTATTCTAAGTAATTATAATAATAGTAATAATTAGGCGTAAATAATTACTTATTTAAAAAGGAAACAAAATATAAAAAATCTCCCGCACTGTCCCTTCCTTTTTTATTAGAATCAAGTAATTAGGCGAAATTGGTTAGGAAACAAATTACTCCCTTCCTTTTTATCAGAATAGAGTGATTATGCATGCAAAATTTTCTTTAATTTATCATTCTAAATAGGTAATATTACACAACCAATCATAGCCGTAGATCTTGTTTGTTTTTTGATATCGACGGTGCAGGAGATGAGTGCATTGGGTGGGAAAATAATTCCCCTATTTTTAAGAATAGAGTGATGTGTGGCAAAAAAAAGTCCCCGCACTTATACATGCGGCGAACAACAAATATAAGTGTGGTTAAAGACCACATCTGTTGTAGTGTTGTTTGAGTTTTATGTTTGACATGCTTGAATAACCAAGAATCATAAACCATGAAATTGATGTTAAAAATATGAATTAATGATTCCAAAATGATCTATGAACCTTGGAGAACATCTCTATATAGTTTCGTTGAAGTTCAGTGACTAAAAATGATATTTCCGAAATTGGACCCGTAACGAAGAAGACGATGAACAGTGGCTAAAAATCCCAAGGAGGATCGATCATACCTACTGGATCGATCCAAATGAGTATTTTCTCTACGGAGGATCAATCCAAAGTGCTAGATCGATCCCCCAACCTGTCTGATCCGAAAATACTTTTGAAAATGCTATTTTTGAGCTCTAAAATCCTTTTTTTGATACCACTTTATTATGATCATTGTAAAAATGATTTACCATAATAAAAATGATGTTTTTAACAAATAAAAATTTTATGTGATGCATGACGGTAAGTTTGGGTGTTAACACTCAAAGCTAGGCCGCTATTTCCTATCGAATGATATGTTGATTGATGATTATGATGAATGATTATTATGATATTTATAACTTGATGAAACCACTGATTAAAATCATTATTGAGGATTAAATTATGAATTGAAATGAATATGTTGATGATTATGAAATGATTTGGATTGTAAAGATATCTAGAAGAATTCTAAGATATACCTAGGTTGAAGTTGGTTTCTAAGACTATCTAGAAGACCTCTAAGATAGCTTAGAAATAGGCATTGCGGGTATAATTAAGAGTACCTTAAACTGGAATATAGATTAGTTACCTTAAACTAGAATTCGTTTAAGAGTTGGTAAACA